ATATTAAGAGTTATTTCAAATGATCAGTTTTCCATTACTGGAAGAGAAACTAGAGTATCTTTTCAAAGGTCATCTGTTACTTCCTACTGGAACTTCTCTTGGGATTTCTCATAGTCCCTAAAAAATAAAAATAAAAAAAAAACCAGTTGCTGTAGAGTGGATTCTGATTCATGGCCACCCCAAGTGTCTCAGAGAAGAACTGTGCAACATAGGGTTTTCAGTGGCTGATTTTTCAAAAGTAGATCACCAGGCCTTTCTTCTGAGGTGCGTATGGGTGGACTCCAACCTCCAACCTTTTATTGTCAGCCAAGAGCATTTACCGTTTACACCACCCAGGCACTCAATAGCCCTTAACTCGTAAACCAAACCCATTGCTGTCGAGTCAATTCCAACTCATAGCGACCCTATACGACAGAGGACAACTCCCCCATAGGGTTTCTAAGGAGCAGCTGGTGGACTCGAACTGCCGACCTTTTGGTTAGCAGCTGGGCTCTTAACCATTGTGCCTCCACCTTTAGATAAACCCAAATCCTTTACTAGCAGCTACAAGGCTCCACATCCTCTGTTCCCTACTCGGATATCAGACTACATCTTGTCCCACACTGCTCCCCTTCCAATAAGCTTCTGTCCCTCTGTGACTCTGTCCTCATTTCAGGGCTTTTATATTCGTGCGTCCTTCTGCCCTGAACACCATTTCCCCAGAAGTCCACTTGCCTAACTTCTGTTCATTATTCAGCTCTCAGCTCAGACATTATCTTCTCAGAGAGACCTTCTCTAAGCACTCCATACAAACTAGCGTCAACCCTACTCACTCCTTGTTGCATTACTTGGCTTTGTTTTTTCTTACACATCTATCACTCGATGACATTCCTTTTAATAGTGTATATTCTCTCTCCTGACCCTAGAATGTGAACTCCGTGAGAAAGGATCCTGCTCTGTCTTGTTCTCCAGGTCATGTGTTGCCAGCACCTTAAAAAAGTGCTCTTTTTAAAATACTTTCTTTCTCGTTTCAGAAATTTTCCAAGTGCGTAGAATGGCAGAAGATGGGAGAGGCAGGGAGGTCTGGGAGGAGGAGAGGGACTTGATTAGAAGTGAATGTTCGCACAAGATCTGGTGACAGAGCCTGAAGGACCAGATGTCACGAGACTCCAGTGATTTTTCCAGTCGCTATGTGACCAGTGGCAAGTCATCCACCCTGCCTTTCACAATATTGCAAAACTGTGTCACTCAGCTATTTTAACCAGTTTACCAGTTACATCAGCTCTTCTTACCCACCCACATCTCTCGTGACACACCAATTGGCAGTGACTTCTAACAGGGCAACACTAAAAAAGAGAACAATGAGTACATGAAACCCAAGGAAAAGCTGTAATTATTCTCACAAACTTAAAAGTGAATGTAAAAAACAACAGACATTAATAATCATTGATCAGTTAAGCAGCAAGAAGTGAGTAATAACGTAAATCGAGTTGGCAGCTTTAAAATCCAGCTGCTACAGAAGTGCTTCTCAACCTTTTTTGTGCTCATAGCACGGTTCCCAATTCCACAGTGTGGGAGAGCACCTGAAGAGACTGAAAGACTCAAAAGTCACTACGTAAGTTAGCAATCGACTCAGCGTCATCAGGACAAGAGGACAACAGGACGACAATGCTTCCCGTTGTTCCCAAAGTTCCGAAGTCATCATTCACCCTCATTGTTCATCCTTCCGCACAGACTCTGAATAGAACAGTTGACTGCTCCCACCGTGCTCAAGGACATAACCCAGAAGTCGTCTCTTTCCTGTAAATTTTTCTTTAGTGATGTTTTGACTTCCGCTGAAACATCTTTCTTGTAGCAAATTGTATCTACTCGACATCTTGTTCCACAAACAACTCAGGTCAAACTCTGTTCGACAAGCATTGCCTGTTAGCAGAATATACGCTCAGCAGCAGTAAAATAAACTTTATACATTGATCAAAAGGGGGAAGTCTACTTCCTGGTGGAGCAGAGCGCCATAACATACCAGTTCAGAAACAAGGCTGAGTTCCTTTCCTGCTGTTTCAAACTTTGTAATCCTACAGGCATCAAGCACGCTACTTGTGGGGTAAGTAAAAGACCTGATTAAAGTTGAACCATTTGTATAAAGTTAAGAAATATGGTTTAAAGAAGAAAGTAGATTGAAGCAAAATCATAAAGGGTCTCAAATAATATTAAAATGTGGTAAACAAACATCAAGAAACCATTAAATTATTAATAAATGTGTTTATTCAGTAAATACTCATCAAGCATCTTCTCTAATTTGAGAGGCAGAGATGGAGCACTGTAAAACCAAACTTCCTTCTACATGGAGCTGACTTTTCAGTGTGGGAGACAGATAATAGAAAAAAATTTTTTTTTAAATCCCCATGTTATTACATAGCAATGGGAAAAAATAAAGCAGGGTAGGGAAATTGAGGATATGGTGAAAGGGTGGTAGCTATGGTGGGTAGTGTGGTCTGGGAATGACTCACTGCTATGGTGACATTTGAGAAGTGAGAATGTGTGGGCCGCAAATCCCTGGGGGAAGATTGTTCCAGGCAGAGATGGTAACAGGTGCAAAGGCAGGAAGGTACAGTGTGGCTGGAGGGGAATGTTTGAGAAGAGAAGTAGGAGGCGGAATCAGGAGGGGGTGTTGGGAAGTTCACGGAGGGCCTTGTGGAGCGCTGTAGAGACTTCGGCTTGCACTCAGGTGAGATGGGAAGCCAGCAGAGTTCAACGGAGGAGCGACATTATAACCTGTGTTTTAAATGACAGCTCCAGGAGGGTAAAGGTGCAATTAGAGTGAACAGGGGAAAGATGATGTGACGGTGTTTGGACCAGAGTGCTCTCTGGGGTGGGGGCGGGTTCAGGGGTGGGGAGGTGAGAAACAATAGCATTCTAGACATATTCCGAAGGCAAAATGGAAATAATTGGCTAATGGATTAGATATGGGATGGGGAAGAAAGATCAAAAGGAAAGATGACTCCAGGGCTTTTAGCCTGGAAACTGGAATAGACATTCCCATTGACTGAGATGGGAAATACTGCAAGAGAAGCAGGTTTGAAGTCAAAAAGAAGAAATCTGATTTGGGGATCTATTAGGTTAGAGTCCTGTGCTGTTCAAATCAGTAGCCACCAGCCACTTGTGGGAATTTAAATTATAATTAGTTATGTCTCAGTGCTAAGCGTCCCGTGATGCTTGCCATAGTACAGCACAATGAAAAGCTGTCACACCCAAAATGTCAACAGCTCCCCCATGTACGAATCAGGGGCCCAGTGTCCCTCAAGCGAATTCTTCACAGTCTGTAAACAGGCATTAGGACATGGTGGTTAGTGTCACAGGTTGTAGGGTCATGTGAACTTGTCCCCCAATCTGTCCTCTGACTGTAGTAGCCGCATGGCTTGGACCTGTTGCCTAGACTCTGAGTCTCCTTATCTCTAAGTGAAGAAATCAATAGTACACATTATGGAGGGTGGCTGTGGGTTGAGATCCTTTGCCCAGTGTTTGGTTTAAGGAGAGTGCCAAATGAATGTATGCTAATGTCAGAAGTGGAAAAGGGGGACGAGGGAGGAGACCTAGGGTGGAGACTAAAATGAGGAAGGTGGAAATTCAAACAAAAAGGACGTCCAGAGCAGCTCCGTCCAGGAAACAATATAACGTGACTTTATATTTTCCACAGCTACATTAAAAAAGGTAAGAAGTAGGTGACCTTAATTTTAATATTTATTTAACCAAATATATCCCAAAATGTTACTTTAACATGTAACCATTATAAAAAACGTTAATGAGGTATTTTACCTTTTTTCCTACTCTTTGAAAACCTAATGTGTGTTTTCTACTTGAAGCACACCTCAGTCCGACTAGCCAGACACCCATTGCTCAAGAGCCACGTATGACTTGCTGCAACCCACTGGATAGCACAGGTCTCCAGCGTCACTGAACGCTTCATTTTGGGGAGTTCTTAGAGAGCAGATTCTTACCAACTAACATCTCAGTGCATGGAGGGCAGTTCCAGAAAAGTCTCTGTTAGTACACTGAGGGACTTTAGAATGAGAATCTGTAAACAAGCTGCAAAGAGGCAGTGATGCCGGGAGACAGAGCACAGTCATTTGCGCTGACTCGACTATGTACGTTCTCAACACAGCTCTACCACTTCCTATGTCCTCGACAGGTTAGCTAGTCGAAACTGTCTTCCGATTTGCAGCGGAGGTAATGGTACCAGAACTTCTAAGTATTGCTCTGGGGATCATGGACGCAAAACTTCAGCACTTTGCCGACAACTGATTTTTCCAAGTGTGAATTGCTGATATTTGTATTTTGGACCAAGAAATAGAACAGAGGTTTATTGGGATTCTAGTTATTCTTCATATAGCATATTAGACATACACGTATACATACACACAAGAAGTATTTATTGAGCTGTATTACTTTTGTAATGAGTCGGAATTGACTTGACGGCAACGGGTTTTACGGGTTTATTACTTCTCTGGCTTTCGTTAATGACCACTTAGTGTTCTTCTGAAGCTAGACTGTTCCTCCTCACACTGAGGGCAGTGATTTGTCCGTTGTGATCAGACATACAGCAACCTCTAGAACTGTGCCTGGCACATGGTAGGTCCTCAATAACTTTATTAAATGAACTTCTGGTTGCAGAATTCCTGACTGATCATCATAAGGGCACCATTAAAATATGATTTAGTTAATGATTGGTTATTTAACTTTTGCTATAATATTTAAGTTATAAATAGTTTACATAGTTACCTTTTAAATAGAACAGTCTCTGCCAGAAATTTAAGATTCTTGAGGCAATAAAAAGTTCAAATAGTATCAACAAGCTTCAATCACTGGTAATGTATTTGCTTTGGAAGTAGCTTCACATGTAAATTACTAGAATATAATGTCAACATAGCCTGTTCAAAGCTATCCCAGAATTTTATTCAATTCATAATTATTAAAACTCATCAGTAATTTCCCGTAAAGTTAAAGAATGAATACAACACTAGTATTGGCACAAGCTCATTTATTTACTAACCAAACGGTTGATCGTAATTAAACCAACACTTTGAAATGGTTGCATGTAAAATGTTTATGAGAGAAATAACTGGACATAGTAAGGAAAGCGAAAAACAGAATAAGCGGTATGGAGATTTGCTCATTGAACTGAGCTTGTTCATTGGCACAGCTAATTCCTGTCCAAAGCGATGATGGAATTTTTATTCTACTTTTTCATAGATCCGAGTACAGTTGACATTGTTTATAACACATTCCTAGAAGAAAAAAAACAGTAATCGTTAGGTGAGCCTTGCACCTCACAGCAACAGTGGTAGTAAAACGTTAGGGCCAGAATCCTACAAAGCCTTGTGACCTACTTCACATACGGAGAGAATCTGTTTTAGGACTCCTGAGTTTGAGAGAAGCTAGAACTTATTGTAGTGGTGCTAGCACTGAGTTGTTGCTCTTAGCTGCTGTCAGGATGGTCCCTGACTCGTGGTGATCCCATACACAGTGGAACGAAACGCCGCCCAGTCCTGCGCCATCCCCACGATCGGTTGTGAATCAGACCATTGTGATCCACAGAGTTTTACTGGCTGATTTTCAGAAATAGATTGCCAGGGCTTTCTTCCCAATCCACCTTAGTCTTGAAGCTTTGCTGAAAACCTGTTCAGCATCACAGCAAAACACAAGCCTCTCCTGACAGACAGGGGTGACTGCAATGAGGTGCACTGACCAGGAATCGAACCCTGGTCTCCCGCGTGGAAGGCGAGAATTCTACCACTGAACCGTCACCGCCCCCATAAAGGACTGAGGACAACATCCAATTATCCATTTGGTCCTTGGCAAACATTACTTCCTATTTCAAAGAGATGGAAAAACGCATGCCCAAAGGGGTAGTTTGGCGGCTTGCCCAAGATTGTAGCATAAAGTAACAGCAAAGACTAAACCTAGGTCCAGCTACATTCCGTCCCATCATGTCACTTCCCTGTCCCCACACAAGTGTTTTTAATAATTAGTGTGGCAGTATTTGAGTTACTATTTTACATCTTTTTTCCCAAACCTAGTTGTCCGGTTTCTGATCAGTGCTACAGAACAGTTCTATGAACTATGTGTGCAGAGAAGCAGCCCGATAAGGCAGACGAGGTTTGGCACTCACCACCACCAATTTCCCATCTTGCAGTTTTCTTGTTATTGTGCTTTCCTTCCCATCCCACTCCTGGTGTTGAACCAAAACACCATCAATAAAGTTGCAGACAGTCTGCGAAAATAAAGCATACTTTTTAATGCTTCCCAAGTACATTGCCCAAAGAGCTTCCCTGAATCATAACTTCCTTAATCAACATTTTTCCATCTTCTGCTTTCTGGGTCTACTTTATTAACCCATACCAATCTTCTTCATGTAGTTCGTGTTCTTCAATCCAGAAGCACACAAAAGATGCTCATTTTTTCTCTCTCCTGTTCCTTAAGCTATTTTTACAAAGTAAACTAAGTTATGAAGCTGGTGCTTTCACCAATCTGGCCAAACTTGAATCATAAAATAACCTGAGACTTTTTCATTAAGTTCTTACCTTTAACAGTAAGAATTTTATTAATATAGCCTATCATTCTAGAAGCTTCTATGATTTTATAACATAAGTTATGACTGACCTGAGTTTTTCTGCCATCAGCTGTAGTTTCCTCAAACTTTTCACCGAGGTTACAAGAAAACTGTGTTGTTTTCAAAGTGCTCTCACTTTTTATGGTGAGGTTTTTGCCATCACAAGTGATGATACAGTCTGGCTTGGCCACTGCGCCCATTTTCCGCAGAGCCATTCCCACTCCTGTAGAATGTTATCACATGTTAAATAACAGGAAAAGCAAAGTTATAGTTTATGTAAGAAAAGCAGCCATCCCATTGTAATTAATATGCTTGGCATATTTTCACTTGGAGCCCCGGGGGCGCAGTGGTTAAGAGCTCGGCTGCTAACCAAAAGGCTGGTAGTTTGAATCCACCAGCCTGTCCTTGGAAACCCTATGGGGCAGTTCTACTCTGTCCTATAGGGTCACTATGAGTTGGAATAGACTTGACGGCCACAGGTTATTTTCACTTATTTGCTTTAGCAGTAACTATTGGAAACATGTATCCAGGTTTTAGCACGTGCCAGCATTTTACGTATATTACTTCCTGTAAGTCCAGCAACAGCCCCATATGGTGGATATGACCGTCTCCACGAAACTGATGAAAATGTGAGGTTGCAGTGACTTGCCCAAGGTCATCGAGCTAGAAAGCGATGCCCCCAGGAATCAAACAGTGCAGGCCCTCTGGTTCCACTCTCAGCTCTTGGTCTCCATGCTGTGATAAGTTAGGGAAGAAATACAGACTTCTAACATTTACTTACTCAAAGCAGTTGATGGAAGGTGGAGATAAAGCATTCAAAACTGCAAACTCAGGGGCTTGCCCAGTCTTTTTCTATACGTTACATTCTGCCAACCATTGTGTGCTACAACTCATAACCTGGCACATGAAAGTCCATTGATAAATACTTGCTTAGTGCGCTATACAGAACAGAAATCACTTCTGAGATATTCAAATGCACAGTGTTTCAAGAGTTCACACAATCATGGTGGCAATAAATGAAAATAACCTTACCATCAAAAACAGAAAACATTTCATAGTGTATAACTTGATTACTATATTGATGAAAAATTTAATGTATATCCTGGATAATTTCCCTCAGTGTTAACACTTGGAAGAATTCTTGGAACTAGGCCATCTCCCCATTGCATAGATGAGAAGGCTACAACCTGAGCTGAATAACTGGCTTGAAGACAATCATTCAGCCTGACTTTGCATTTCCCGTTAGCCTTCTCTTCTGCCCGCTGAGGTCTGGTGCCTGGTGGTGTTAGTTGAGTCAGTACTTACAGTCACTTTGGACAAATGGGCTCTGTGCTTTCCCGACCAAAAGCAAAACCTGTTGCCGTGGGGTCGATTCTGGCTCCTAGCGACCCGATAGGACAGAAAATAACTGCCCCATAGAGTTTCCAAGGAGTGGCTGGTGGATTCAAACTGGATTTTTCTGGTTAGCAGCCTGAGCTCTTATCCACTGCACCACCATCTCAATCAATTGAGGTGTGACAACCTTCATGACTCTAGAATCTTGGAAACCAGGGATCCCACCCATTTACTTTCAACGGACAGAGAAACGGGGTTCTCCATTTGGACCTCACAGCTGTGCATATACACAAATGTACTTCTTAGATATAAAATATGATAAGTTTTTTTCCCAGTCATCTGGATCTATGTTTACAATGAAAAACCAAGCAAATAAACTGCCTTCTTGTTTTGCCAACAGTATAACAAATACAGAAACCCTGGTGGCGCAGTGGTTAAGAGGTCAGCGGCTAACCAAAACGTTGGCAGTCTGAATCCACTAGGTGCTCCTTGGAAACCCTATGAGGCAGTTCTACTCTGTCCTTTAGGGTCCCTAGGAGTCGGAATCGATTTGACAGCAAAGCTTTTTTTTTTTTTTAATGATAAATACACTCAAGATTCAACACAGAACTAGCCTCAACATCACACTGTCTTGGATAAAGACTAGTGAAGGAGTATTTTTAAGGTACATCAGGCTCTAGGTTTCCTAATAGCGGGTCTCTGTGGTAACTCCTGCATCAGACAGCAGTCATGTTAACACTTGCGGGGGATAGCAGCTTCTGGAAGCATGCTCAGAGTCTCCGCCGTCTAGGGCTGGACGATCACTTCTAGATGGGATCTATGCTATGCTACTTCACCCCACTTCCTGGTGGCCTGTGACAAAGGTTCTGTTTTGTTTGCCACCTATCCGATATCTCAGCCAGCATTCACTCCTTGTCGCTGGCTTAGGAAAGGACAGTAACAGAAAATGAAGCGCTATTTTGAGGAAGAGAGCGAACTGGAAGCTTCTACAGAGATTCTCCCTGGAAGGCTTCAAGGAGACAAGGGCTTTGGGCAGGACCACGCCCACCTGGCATGCTGTTAACAGTATGAACAGTTTACGTAGTGACCTTTCATTAAATTAAATTTAAGAGGCTCCAAGAGGTTCCAGGTTTTCCCACAAAGTACACTGCCTTCTGGCACCTCACCCTCCAGACGCAGAGGCCAGGGCAGCGAAGAGCACCCACCCCCAGGCACACTCGGCCTCACTGCGCGTCCCACAGCCACCGCCCTCTGCTGCGCCGGGGCCGGGCGGGACCCGCAGAAGGTCAGCGCTTGCCAGTGCCACACCTCTGAGCGCCGCTCCGGGGCCAGGAGGCGAGGATGCGCCGGCTCTCCACGCGGAGCTATGCCAGCCCGAAGGACCTGCTCGCTCGGTGAATGAGGGCAGGGGACCCGGGGGCGGGGGCGAGAGCAGAAGCTGCAGCTTCCCTCAGACCTTCTACAGGGCCTCTGCGGGAGACCACAGACGCTCCAGGGAGTCCTAGCCCCGCGTCCCCGTGGGGAAGAGGGAGGGCCCGCGCGCCCTCGAGGAACAAAAGATGCGGCAGTCTGAGCGCACGGCGGGACGGGAAGTGGGTGCTGATACGCAGGGCGGGACAGGAGGAGTGGGTGCTGATACGCTGGGGCGGATGGCACGGCTAGGAGGGTGGGGGGGGATGGTGCCTGAGGAGCGGGGAAGGGCAAAAAGGGAGAGTTAAGGAGGCTGCCTGGAGAAGGTCGAAGGAGGCGAAGCTTGGGGAGGGGGTGAGAGCGCGCTAAAGGCCAGGCTGCAGTGCCGGGAGGCCGCTGCGGAGGAGCGGCGGCCAGGAGGGGGAAAGAGTGAGGGGGCCACGAGGGGGACATCTCGGTGACACCTCCGGGATCCCTCCGGTGCGCCTTCCGCCCGCCCCGCTCCTCTGGCTGCCTTCGCGCACGGTGCAGCGAGCGCTCAGCCAGGCGCTGCGCCCTGCTGGGAGGTGGCGACGCGGCGGCCGAACGCTGGCCGGGCAGACGGACACGCACGCCACGCTGCCGAGGCCGCCGGCCGAGCGCCTCACCTAATTCCTTCATGTATTCGTCAAAGCCTTTGGTGTCCGCCAGGCGCCATCTTCCTACCAGCTGCTGAACGGTGGCCATGGTGGGCGCGACGGACGGCTGTGCGGAGCGGCAGATGGGTCGGACTTGGAGCGCGGCGAGCGGGTACCCGGCGCACAGCTCCTTTATAAAGGCGGGCGCCGGGCGGCCAGTGGGAGGTGCCTCGACGGCCCCCGCCCCGGGCGCGCCCCGGGGCCTCCCTCCCGGCGCCGGGAGCTGCCAACCGGCTCCACCTGCTCGGGGACCCGGGGCTCCGAGCGCGCCACCTGGAAGCCAGGACTCGCCCGGCGCGCCCCACCCCTCTCCGGACTCCGGCCCCTGCCCGTTCCCGCGCCTCGGCACACCCAGGAAGCCAAAGGGGGCACCCAGGAGGCCAGGCCCCGCCTCTCCCTTTTCCTGTCGCCATGCCGCCGAGGAAGCTGTCAGCCCTGGTGGGGCAGGGCAACAGGAATTAACTGATAGACCTAATCACTGCCCTTTGTCAGCGGACCCAGAAAGCGGGCCAACCCGCGTTTCACACCCTCCTGAGAACCTGTTCTCCCCTTTCAGGCCACCCAGGACCTGCCACCGACCCAATCAGGGCCTCAAGGCGGGTGTAAATGTGAGTTTGAAGGAGATTTTATCAGAAGCCGCAGGGTAGGACACCACGTCTCAGGAAGTTCTGTGTCTAAGCTAAAACCCTGTAGGAAGTTTCATCTTAAGTGATTGTCGTTGCTATTAAAGATCAAGAATGTTTTATTCGTTTATGTTCCCCGGAGAGTGAACCCCTCACAGTCTCTTCCCATCCTTTCTAATAGCAAGTCTGGAGCATTTAGACTCCAGAGGGTTTAATCATAATAATACCCTATACTTGTGTGTAGAACGTGATACTTTTCAAAGTATACTTTTTACAGTATCTTACTTGGTGCTCTCATGTCCCTGTGGAGGTGAGATGGAGTGAGGTGAGAAAATCGTCACCCAGAGAGGAGGGCACTTTGGCAGAGATAATGCCATTTATTGCCTACTCCGCTAGATGGCAGCGGGTTTGGATTTTGTTGTTGTTGTTTGGTTTACTATATGCTAGAGGGCAGCGATGATCCAGGGGTAGAAATCTTGTCTTCCTTGGAGGATACCCGGGTTCCAGTCCCGGCCGGTGCATCCCATGCACAGCCACCACCCCTCCCTCCGTGGAGGCTTCTGTGTTGCTATGATGCTGAACTCGTTTCAGTGCATCTTCCAGCCTAAGACTAGGCCTGGTGATCTGCTTCGAAAATCAGCCATTGAAAATGCTAGGGATCACAATAGTCTGATCCCACTGTTCACAGGGTCACCTGAGCACTTTATATCCATTAGCTCTTCCCGGTTACCAGTCACTGTTGAGTTGACTCCGACTCAGGGCGACCCCATGTGTGTCAGAGTAGAACTGTGCACCGTGGGATTTTCAGTAGCTGATTTTTCAGAAGTAGGTCACTGGCCTTTCTTCCTAGGCACCTCTGGGTAGACTTGAACTGCCAACCTTTTGGTTAAACTGTTTGCACCACCCAGGGACTCCCCATTGGCTCTCATCTCCGCTAAACTTTGGCGGGAGTGTTATTCCAATTTTTCAAAAGAGGAAGATGAGGCAAGGAAAGGTCACACAGTGCAGAACCGAATCTCCATCCAGGTTCTTCTCAGTCAAGACCTTGTAAAGAACCACCACATCTCCCTGCCTCTCTCTCACTGTACTCAGTGGAGCTGAGTGTTGAGGTCACAGCCCCCTAAACCAGAACAAGACACTAGCTCCTATAGTATCTTTTTTTTTTTTTTAAATTTATTTTTATTGTACTTGAGGTGAAGGTCCACAGCAGTACACATACCGTTCCACGACACTGGTCAACAACCCCATGACATGTCAAACCCCTCCCCTCTCGACCCTCCTTCCTTTTCTTTTTTCCGGTGAAAACACACACAGCCAAAGACACACCACCCCAAAAACCTCCACATGCACGGTTCAGTGACATCGACCACGCTCCTCCAATCGTGCTGCCGCTCTCACTCTAGATGAAGGTCCACAGAACAAAATCGCCTCTCATCAAACACTTAGTACACATGTTCCCCTATGACAATGGTCAACAACCTCACAACACATCCACACCATCCTTACTCAACCCTGGTGTATTATCTTTAACACAAGTGAAATCTAAGGGTGGTTTTTCATCGCCAGCATGCCTCAGGGCATCACCTACCCTGAAATGCATCCCCCTTTCTTTCAAGTCCTGGCCCTAATTTTAGGGTCATCCCAGTCTTTCCTGTGGTATCATTTTAATACTGAATGACTTAGGTCATATAGTCGTACCATTCAGTGCCTGCGCAGCCCACAGCTGAGGCTCTGCTGTTCAGAAAAAGCCCACGTTCTGAGGGAAGCTGAGTGCCCTTTTCTCTGCTCTTGATCAGAGATGCAAGTACTTCCAGACACCCAAAGCAGCGCACCAGCCCCGCATCCTAGAGAGGCAGCTCTTGTGTGTGAGGACTTGTGTTCTTCACGTGCTGTGTAGAAGATGGGAATAATAGCCAGGTCCCAAGTACTGGAATATTCACATTTACATCATCATAGTCACCCATGTGACTGAAATATCAAAGGGAGAATGGTGCTGTCTTAGTCAACTCATGCTGCTCTAACAGAAATACCACAAGTGGATGGCTTTAACAAAGAGAAGTTTATTTTCTCACAGTCCAGTAGGCTACAAGTCCAAATTCAGGGTGTCAGCTCCAGGGAAACGCTTTCTCCATCAGCTCTGGAGGAAGGTCTGTGTCATCAATCTTCCCTTGATCTGGGAGCTTCTCAGTGCAGGAACCTCAGGTCCAAAGGACGCGCTCTGCTTCTGGCACTGCTTTCTTGGTGGTATAAGGTTCCCATGTCTCTCTGCTTGCTTCTCCCTTTTATATCTCAAAAGAGACTGGCTTAAGATACTAACCAGTCTTGTATACCTCATCAGTATAACTGCCACTAATCCATCTTATTACATCATAGTGATTGAATTTACAACACGTAAGGAAATCACATCAGATCACAAAATGGTACACAATTATACAATACTGGGAATCATGACCCAGCCAGGTTGACAGATATTTTTGGGGGGACACAATTCAATGCATGACAGGCGCTGTACTAGATACTTAAGTACTTAAGAAATAGTTTTTAAACCCAAGCTAGGGGGGTATCTAAAACTTAACTTTTAAACACACTCTTGGGTGTGATGAGTAGAAATAATCCTTTTGTGGTTAAAACACACCAACAAACAAAACAGCAAGACGTGGCCGAAATACCTGTTATAGTCCCGCTGAAGCAAAGGAAGGAGTATGGTGAGGACTGCTGCTGTACGCCGCATACTCAATCCCCTCTGTCCTCAGACGCCTCATCTTTACAAGAAGTAAGAGAAAATAAACAATGGATTGGAGTGGATGATTTCTAATGCCCTTCCAGTTTCTAATGTTCAGATTGTCTTCTTTTCTTAAGACTAATGAGAATGGATTTCAAACTCTAAAGGGCATTAATTACTCCCAGAACCTGCTAACTAAAGTCTTATTCTAGGCCAGTTAACATGAACCCCGTAGGAGGTGTAAAAACCAAAAAAAATGTGAAAACAAATCTGATGGAAGTCTTGTATGAGTTTATGGGATTGCTGAGTATTTCTTCTTTGGAAAAAGGAAGGAGAATTACCAAGGATTGCTGTTAATTGCGTTACAAACAAAGGACAATAGTTTTATCCTAACCAACCCCGGCAAACATTAATAGCTGTGCTGGCCATTCTTTCTAGTGGCGGCACAGAGGTGATACAGGTGTCACAGTACGTCTTCATGCTGAAAATGATAGCACTGGCATTGTTCTTAGGGATGAAAATGATTGAAGAATCAGGAAATACTAGCAGCTCCTCCACAGTGGCTGCAACAACGGGCTCAAGCATAACAGCGATTGTGAGGACGGCGCGGGACTGGGCAGGGTTCCGTTCTGTTGTACACAGGGCTGCTATGAGTCGGAATCGACTCGATGGCACCTAACAACACCAACAGCTTCCATAGGAGCCCTAGAAGACTATCCATTGTAAGCCAGATGCAATTTTACTTCATCTTTCTGAGCTGTGAATCTATGAAGTTAAGGAGGTGAGAATTAAACTAAGTGATTTCTTCGGCCCCTTTCAGCTATGAAGTACTCCTGCGCTAGTAGTTCATGTCCCTGAAAAATGTGCTCAAATTACTCTATTTCCACCTAGTGGCAAAAATGGGATATTTCTCTAAGATTTTCTTTGATAAATGTTAATAGCTTCTCAGCTTCACATCTCACAGTCACACAAAGAGCTTTGGAGTATATATGTTAAGTTTACGTCCCAATTATAGTTTCTGCAGACACATGTGCCTTTCACAGAGTTGATGACAGTATATAATAATTTCCTCAGGACGGGAAGTATTGGTGGCCTAGAATCATGTAACTGGTAGAGAGAGAGAGAGAGAACCACAGTAGAGAAATCATTGCAGAAATACACAAAGTAGTCAATCCATGTCCAGGCAGTTGAGTCTTGCCTAAGCACATGACTAGATTCAACAATAAAAGGTGGGGGGGGACAGACGGGGGAAGCAATGTCGTTATTATAAAGGGGACTTCTCCAGTTTTAATGTGCAAACAGATCACCTAGGGATCTTGTTAAAATGCAGGTGCTGATTCAGTAGGTCAGGTTAGGGCCCAAGGTCCTGCATTTCTTCCGAGTTCCCAGGTGATGCCAGTGTTGCTGGTCTGGGGCCCATGCTTTGAGTAGCAAGGCTATAAAGTGTGCAAGAATCTGCATGGCTTTGCAGCATTGGGATGACTTTCACTTCAATGCCTAAGTGTTTTCTGATTACACCCTCGTCACAATTCATAGGCAAGACAGGAGGTTGTACACCTCACCCTGGAAACTACCTTACTCACGTTTGGCATTTTTTGCCTAATTGGTCTGTAGCAGCTATTTTTCTCTCTGCTCTCCAGAAAGCATGGTAGGAGGCTTTATAAGACATACGGTGGTGGGGAGGATAGAGAATATGTTTATTTAAACCTAGTCACTTCCTTAAATTTTATAATCAGTTTTTTTCACCCCTACTCTTTCTGTCTTGTCTTACTCTAAACATGCTTTGCATACCTAGCTTCTAACTAGATCTTCACCGAGAAAATCCCATGTAGAATCACTGCCAAAAGAAAAC